CCCCCACGTAAAGCGACTGTGCCCACTTCTTCCTTTGGCTGGTGGAGTCCCCCCCCCCCCCCCCCCCGTATTTCCTCCGGTGATCATGTGGATGTGGCGCTTCTTCTCCTGGTACTGGTTGTACTCGTCCTCTTCATCGAAATACTCGATTTCCCTTTTCTTACCCTTCGAGTCACCAAGGGGGATGGTGTTCGGGTTGACCCAGGCATTTGCTTTCTTAGGGGGCCCTTGGTAGGGAGGACCTTAATGCTGAGGGCCCCTCACGAATTGGAACAGGTGGCCCGCCTGTATTAACATCTCGATGGCTATCTTCAATTGATGGCAGTCATCGGTCCTGTTCCCTTGATTGCGATGGAAGCGGCAGTACGGTTTGTTGGGGTTAACGGCATATACCTCTAGGGGTGCGCGAGAGTCGCGCTCCACTAGGCTCCTCTCTTCGGAAAAGTCTAGGATGACACTGACGGGGTGTGTCAAAGGCGTCTGAGGGTGCTCCAAGAGAATGCGCTGGGCCCAAGCCTTTGGGTTACCCTTGTAACCTCCCCCGGGCTTGGCTTGGCCATGCTGGGGGCAATCACCGGGGGGTGCCGAGCCTCTGGATTCATTTGGGGGGAGCCCCCGGTCCCCGGTTGCCTTTGTCATCCGGCCGAGGGCGTTGCTGATCGGGCTTGTGATGACATTTTTCCACTTCCTCAAGCTCGGCGTACCGGTCCCCCCGCTGTAAGGCCCTTATGTAATCGCGGGGAGGTTCGATGATGAGGCACCTTGAAAAGTTCCCGGGACGAAGGACTATTTGAAGGAGGGCTAGGAGGGTCCCATCGTCAGCGACGTCAACTTTATCTGCCTCCGTCCTCCAGCGTTCCAAGAAGTCCCGAAGGGTCTCCTCCTTTCTTTGTCTCACCGTCAACAAGTGGGAGAAGTGTTTTCTTGACCGGCGCCTCCCTGCAAACTGCGTCAAGAAACGTTGGGCGAGTTCCTGCCATGAATCGACGCAGCCTTCGGGCAATCGGTTGAACCACTCGTATGCTAGTCCCTCTAAGGTGGAGAGGAACCAACGGCACAAATATTCGTCCGATGCCCCCACCATCATCATACTGTTCTGATATCTGTTGTAATGCTCCTGGGGATTTGTCTGTCCTTCGTAGGGCCTGATGGGTTGCCTCCGGTATTTTTCCGGAATTCGGGCCGCCAATACCCTTGAGGTAAATGGCGTCCTAGTCCGGAGTTGGATGACGGGTTCCCCGGAGTCCTCGACTATTTTCTTTTGCATCTCCTCCATTTTGGCCAACATGGCGGTGTATTTGGGGTCCGTCTGGGAGGCGGAAGCTGTTGTGTGCGCTTGACGGGCCTCCATCTCATCAAGGCGGCGTTGGAGGGCTTCAATGATTTCGTCCCTGTGATCCTTCGGGAGGACCTCCGCCCCCTGTGAACGAACAGGTGCCGAGTGGGCCTGGTTGATTTGATGCCTTGCGTCATCGGCATGGAGTGGTGCTTTTCCTTTGTCCTGAGGGGGACGCCTCTCATCTGTCCTCGATACTGACCCCCCACTCTCTTGGGGGCTTTGGAGTGCCTTACCACCGAGGCGGTCTTGGACCCCTCGGCGATCCTGCACTCCTTCGTGCCTCTCGAGGGCGGAGGTCCGAGGCCTTTCTTTGTTCGCCCTGCGTTGGTCCCGGGATTGGACTTCCTGGGAGGCGGTGTCTTAAGCCACGACCCCTTCGTCGTTCCCAACCCGAGGGGTAGGGTTCACGAAGGGGGGTGGACGCGGGAGACGCACAACGTTCTCCCCGATTTGTGGTTGAAGGGGCACCAGAGTGCCGAAGGCACCTGGGTTTTGGGTGAGCGTTTGGATGAAGGCGGAGAATGCCGAATGTACGTCGATGGTGAGAACCAGAGGACTCATTTGATTCTCACTCCGGTCCCTCCTTCGGGTTTCGATGCCAAGACGGGCATCTGGAGCGTTCTGCTGAAGCTGAAGGCGTAGGTCAACAGCAGCCTGTTCCAACTCAGTGATGACCCCGCCCTCGGGAGCCTTGTTAGAGGCTCCGGGGGCGTTGACTTCACCGAGGGCCAGGTTCTTGCCCTCAAGGTTCTTGGACTGAGCACGAGTGGTTCTTCCCATTTTGGTAGGTGTTTTGAGCTGAAGGGGAGGGTTTCTTACTTGATTGTTCGACTTCTCAACGAGAGCAACAAATGATGGATAGTGTACCCGGGGGGTATCTATCCGAGGGGTTACTGCGGGAAGTAACTTAGAGAGAAGTCAGAGCAAATAAGTAAGAGAGAGAGTGAATTCGAATATATGAGTTATGTATTCAAGGCATGTCTTACAAAGGGGAAAGGGGCAACTATTTATAGTAGCAATAAATGCTAGATAGGGACACATGTCAGCATTCTGGTGGTCGAGGGGTCACCTCAATCGGGGTGGCACTGACACTCGCATGTGGCCACATTAAATGCGGTGGTTGGATGCGACGTTTGTACTTGGTACAGTGATCTAGCGCATGTGGACGGGAGATTCTGTCGAGGAGGATGCCTTCGGCTGTAGATGACAGTCCGAAGGCTCTGCGTACCGGGGGCCTCATAGTGTCGAGGGCTCCAATTGTCGAAGGCTTGGTTTTGAAGCCTTATTCTCCCGTGATGTTGCTGAACCCAATTCTGTCACTGGTAGCCTTTGGCCATGGGGCCGAAGGCACCCCTTCATGCATCGTGGGTTGCTTAGAGCTTCATTCTGCTGGGCTTGACCTGTTTTGGACCTGTTGGGCCTTAATGTAACAGTGGAAGTATGTGGGTTGGGGGGTCCCTGGGCCATATACTCCATCAATACCACTTTCTTAAATGTTAATTGCTAACCACATTTACAAAATTACACATTTATTATCAATTCAAATAATGTTTTACTTTAACTCCAAATAATCAACAAATAATGACAATACAACAATTCAACAAACATTAAATCTGAAAATAAACAAATTACAAGAATTCAACAAACAATTCATCAATTCAAAAAATCGAAAGTTCACAAGAATTAGGAAATTAGCAACTAAATGAATAAAAGAATCTGGATGCAGTGGACTGACCGGAAGTCTGGACGACTGGACTCAGGGAGGCGGCCAGGCGGGAGCAGGGAGCTTGAGGGTCTGAGGCTCTGAGCGTCTGAGGGAGGCCGGAGGCGGGCGGCTAGTTGACTGCAGACGGCGGCATGCAGAGGTGGTTGTGGCGGTGTGCGGTGTGCGGTTCGATTGGAAACGCGGAGGCGGCGAAGCTGCGGAGGTCGTGAAGCAGGGGAATATCGGAGGAGGGTGTGGGTTGCTGACTTGCTGCGCAGGGGGAATAACGGAGTAGGGAGTGAGGGGTGTTATCGTGGAGCAGGGGATTTGGGGAAGAGATTTGGGCTAAAAACTAATGGGCTGGGTCTAATACTAATTTTTTTTTGGGCCCGTCAAAATTCCGGGCCCTGTGCGGTTGGACTGGGCAGACAGGCCCAGACCCTGCCCAACGCTAAAAATTGATGGATTTGTTTTTGAGTTTTTAACATCGATTATAAATGATTTTTCTAGCATATAATGTTTTTAGTGTTCTACATGAAATGGGAATGCGACTAAATAATTTTTCTACCTTAAAACTTGGAGAAATGTTTCTAAATCTGACTCGATAGACTAAATTTGCTTCCCTCCAATAAAGCAAAACCACTGCATTCATAAAGGTAAGAGGCGAAATGATTAGTTGTTGTCTAAAGATCAAAAGGCACTTTGGGCTAATTCACATGATCATGGGCTAATTCAAAATGCAATCATTTCATGAAAATGAGGGCTATAGTAAAGACAGTCTAACTAAAATATTAGCATGAAAACTAAAAGGATAATTTTAATATCTTAGAACATAAGAATCTCCACAATTAGAGGCTATGTACATGATAGTCCCAAAACATAACAATCAAACAACCATAGCAGATAAACAAGAAGCAGATAGAAAGATTTTGATATGAACAACACCTTTGGTATACCGTGGAATACGCCGCTGCTCTCCCTCGAGAGAGAGCAACGACAAACCCTAATCTCTCTATCTCTACGCCTGTGAACTCTCAAAAGCCTCGAACGTTAGGGTTCCCGTAAGTTAGCCTCCTTTTATAGGAGAAGTTGGCTAACTTACGGGTTACAAGGAAGCTAACGGGCTGATACACATTTGTGTGTATTACACGTTTAATTAATAATTACACAAATACAACGATATTTTATTAGATTGGACATCATAAAATATTCCTAACAACACACAAAAATCCACATTGCTTACACCATATTTTCAAATATTTAAGGTGCACCATTTTTTATGTCGGTTTGACCACTACAGAATGATGACTAAAAAATTAAAAAATTAAAAAATTAACACGTTAAAAAATTAAAAAATTAAAAAACAAAAATTAAAAAACAAAAATATTAAAAACTAAAAATTAAAAAATTAAAAAATTAAAACATTAAAAAATTAAAAAATTAAAAAAGTAAAACATTAAAAAATTAAAAAATTAAAAAACTAAAAATTAAAAAAATTTAAAAATAAAATTATTAAAAATTTAAAATTGAAAAATTTAAAAATTAAAAAAATTTAAAAAAATAAAATGTTAAAAATTGAAAAATTTAAAAATTAAGAATAAGAAATTACAAAAATATAAAACTAAAAATTATAAAATTAAAAAACTAAAAATTTTAAAAATAAAAAATCTAAAAACTAAAAAATAAATTCAAAAAATCAAAAATTGAAAATTCAAAAATTCAAAATTAATAAAAAACAAAAAATTGAAAAAATCAAAAAAATATATTATGACTTATGACCTTAGGAGTAATATTCACAATAGTTAAAGATGTTTCTATTTTTTTAAGTAAGGTATCAAATAAAGGTAAATTAAGAAAATATTTTCATTAAACCTTTTTCCCGTGTTTCCTCAAAACAAATAATTTTTTTTATGAAAATCCTTCCTTCCACTTCTCTTTCCTTGTCTCCCCTCCCCTCCTTTGAACCAGATAGGGCCTTAAGTTACTGTGATAGTTTTCCATTTCATAAATTCTTAGGATTAGATAGCAGAGTGGGACGCCCATGTCGATAGCTTCCCAGTTCCCACGCCAACAAATGAAGTGCCAGTAATTTGTGTTTCAAGAGTTCTCGATTTCTAACTCCATTTCTTTTGCTGCTATCTCACATCCCTCCAGTTCGTTTTGTGGATCGATCTCATAAGCTGCTTCGTTTTAAAGAATCATCACATTTTCCGCAGCAAGCTTTGGGAGCTCCAATGATTCCTTTTGAGTTGCTTGACTGTCATTCAAAGGTAATAATTCCTTATTCCTGGTTCACGCATCGAATCTACCTTTTATAAACAATGGAATTTCATCATCTCATGGATTCGGTCACTATCAATAAGGGACTAGAAAGTAAACCGTGTCCATATATGATTGGAACGATAAAAAATTATCGATGACTTAAAATTATCAAGTAGTCGAGGAAGTCTGACTTGGATGGATTAAACGGTTCTTTATATAGCTTTGGTAGTGCTAATTTGCTTCCAAATATATCTGGAGGCTTTCCATAAATATAACTGAAATATAACTAATGGATGAAAGTATTACTATAGTTACAATGCATAGAAACTATAGTTATGGAGTTGAACATGATCATGGTCACAAAAGTTACTATAGTAGTCACTAAGTCATTTTTGTTCACTACCATTATTTCGGTAATATATTTGTCATTATTTCATATTCATATATGTTTTGATGATGATACTGCTTTCATTTTGCAATTCCAGAGAGGTGGGGAGGAAACTAGAACATTCTTTCCTGCTAGTAATCCAATGCTCATCCATTTCAATGAAATATACTCATTGACGAGAGGTGGAGTTCTGAGTATAGAGGAGGACCATTCATCTAATTCATGCCGAGGAATGAAGCACTCCCGTTCATGTGAAAGTGAGCTTGTAGAAGAAAAGGAAGAGGAAAGGCGGATGAAACGGAGTGCAACTAATTATAAGGAGGAGGAGGATTTATCGGAGGTGTTTGATAAGGTTTTGCTGTGTACTGATGATTCTCCATCTGCACTAGGCAAACAACTACAGAAAGAGCGAAGTGGTCGCAAGGGCCGTGCAGATAAACGAGGAGATGGTTGCGAATTTGTGCATATGGAATCTCTTCTGTTAAACTGTGCAAAATCAATTGCAGCTGCTAGTTACAAGGTGGCAGCAGAACAACTAAAGATGATCAGGCAATACTCTTCTCCAGTAGGTGATGCAAACCAAAGGCTGACCCATGCATTTGCTAATGGTCTTGAGGCCCGGCTGGCTGGAACTGAGGCACAACTACATGTTTCATTATCATCTCAGAATGACATAGTAGTTCCAGAAATGCAAAAATCTCGCATTTCATCATCTTTGCCGTTTATGAGAATATCAATCTTCTTTGCTAATAAAATGATTTATGAAGTTGCGTCAAGAGGGGCATCACTGCATGTTATAGATTTTGGTATTCTTCACGGTGTCCAGTGGCCCACTCTTATTCAGGATCTTTCACAAAGACCCGGTGGCCCTCCTAAACTTCGAATAACTGGTATTGAGCTTCCCCAACCTGGTTTTCGTCCGTCACACATGGTATTGGAGACAGGTTGTCGCTTGGCTAAATATTGCCAACGCTTCGGAGTACCATTTGAATACAACTCTATAACATCAAAGAATTGGGAGGCAATTAAGATAAATGATTTGAAGCTCGAGAAAGGTGAGGTGGTTGCTGTTAATTGTACTCTTCGATTCAAACGCCTACTAGATGAGACCGTATGTGGTGCCGACAACCCAAGAGATGGTGTTTTAAACTTAATCCGGCAAGTAAACCCTCATATCTTTGTGCATTCTGTGGTCAATGCATCCTGGAACTCTCCTTTCTTTGTCAATCGGTTCCGATCGGCTCTCTTTTACTTTTCTGCTGTCTTTGATATGCTTGAATCTGTTTTCTCACAACACGATAGTCAAAGGTTTAATTTGGAACAAGCACTTATGGGGCCTGGTATAGCAAATATTATAGGATGTGAAGGCATGGAAAGATTAGACAGGCCAGAAACCTACATGCAGTGGCAAAGTCGTATTATGAGGGCTGGGTTCAAGCCTGTGCCCCTTAACCCTCAACTTGTAAAAAAGTTAAGAAGCAAGGCGAGGGAAGCACATCACAAAAACTTTCTGTTTGCTGAAGACGGCCATTGGGTGCTGCAGGGGTGGAAAGGCCATATCTTCTTCGGCAGCTGTGCCTGGGTAGCTCACAACCAAAATATTATTTAAGAGATCGTATAGTAAAAGATGTCAGATACTAACAGGAAGGAGTTTGTTTCAATATCCCGATAGAAGACGATTGTGAAGCTGGCCTATGAAATTGTATATTTGCATTTATGTTTAGGCTATCGAGCATACTATGAAATTGTATATTTGCATTTACGTTTAGGCTATCGAGCATATATTGATCAATCTGCTACTCTTAAAACGTCTTCGCAAATCTATATACCAATTAACTAATTAACCAACTTCTAAGGGCTTTTCCGTAACTGCAAGCATCCACACATTTTTCTGTACAAGTATCGGCTCATTCTGTTCTCTCTGTCATATTTTTCTTTATCAGTTCATTCTAGCTATTCAGTATATACACTTTAAATTTCCTCCAAACTTTCTGTTAAACACTAAAACTTTAGGCTTTAGGGCTTAGGCTACTACAAGTACATCGGATCTCTATGATGTTTTAATCTTCCGTTCATCGTACTTAAATCCAATCTATTATTTGTTGTCAAGCCCATCTAAACTATGTCTCACAAGATCCATAGTGAAACACTCCCGGTTGGGGAATCAGTTGTTTTGAATTGTAATTTAGAAGTAAAAATTTGCCTCTTCTTTTTTATGTCTGTAAAATGGATTGTTAGCAGTTAGCAGTGTGATTTTCTATTTGGGTGGACAAGTTTTTGCTACAATGCTCAATGTCATCCAAGTTTTATAATCTTTTTCATAACATTTGCGCATAGATGGATTTATATTAAGAGTTTGAGTGAATTTGTGGCTGTTTTGGGTAATTAGTATACAGGTTGTTCTTTCGATCAGGGGATAGATGTTTATTTCTTTTGAATTTTGGGTGTGTTTCTGCCTACAAAGTAAAAAAGGAAGAATTTCATTCATTATTTGTTTGTATTATTATTCAGGGTTAGTACTCTTTTGGACTACTGCTATGCTCAAAGTTTTAAATCAAGGAAATTCAATGTTTGAATTTTTGAGTAGGGTTGGTACGTATTTTAAGACCCTCAACCTATATACCTACAACCTAGTTGTTGAGAAGATGAAGGCACTAGTCACCCATTTAATTTATAACTTTCCATCCCACCTGAATAAGTCCTTTAGGAGAAACCACTTTGAGCGTGACCATTTTGTTTTTTACCCAATTAATTGAGCTTCATACCCAAATGACCTGTGTTTCCTTACTTCACGAAGTTTAGAGAACTAGGGGATTAATTTGCTAAGTTTAGAGAATTTTTGTGGGAGCCATTTTTGGCACTGTTCCTATGTCACAAATGGGGTAAGAGTTGTCACTTTTTAGGAATTTAATATTTTCGAGGATTGCATTGTAGACATGGTTCACTTTGTTTAATTGAACTTTAATTGCAATGGGGTAATGTCTAGTGAAAATCTGAAAATTTTGAAAAAATTAATTATCAGCTAGACCTCTTACCTTGCGAAAAAAAGAAAGGGAGCCCCGGTCTAAAAGCGTAAGTGTTCGCACAATAAGATGAGACCTGAGTATCTTTCGAAAGAAATGACGTTCTCGTGCCAACATGACAAGGAAAATTGAACTTTATTAATTGAACTTGGAGGCTATTGCAAAATTAGCATTAGTCCTTCGCGTACTTGAAGTATACGTCAAAACACTATTGTGCCGTGGCGGTTTAGCTTAGTTGTACACCATGTCTGCTCTTTTAATAGGTTTAGATGATAGTTCCTAATTTATGTCCTACCGAATTCCCCGATCCTAAGAATATATAGCATGAAATTCCTGAATGCATTACGTCCGTGTCAGGTTGTTCCAAAAACTCTCAAAGAAAGGGACCGTATATTCCTTACCATTCACCACCACCTTCACAAATCCTTCTGATCGATAGCTAGTTTTTAGTGTATGATGTCACTACTTTGAGAATGTTGTGAATAATTTTGGCTTTAATTTTAGCTAGAGTACAAAGATGTAGTTTAGGGAAGAATTTTCTTGGTTTAATCTGTCTGTTCTGTGAGTATCCCTGTAACTACCTGAGCATGCTAATAATTTTAATTCCGTGTGGTGATTATCGGATGTCTCGTTGTTCAGTTTGCTTGAGAACAAGCAAAACATAAGTGTGGGGGAATCTGATAAGTTCGTATTACAACACACATTTGATGCGTGTTGGGATCGGCTTTTGATGGTTTTCCTAGCTTTAAGGTGTTATAAGCCTCAATTTTAGCTCAAGTTATGTTTATCGGGCCTTGGTTCGAGTTTTGTGTTGTTTGAAGTCAAAAATCATGAAATTAAAGTCTAACATCGATGCTTGAGTAGCAATCAAGATGAGTTGATGATGTATTCGAGAGAGAATTGAGAGCTTTGGAGGTCACCGAGAGGTTTACGATGAAGATTTGAAGATAAAAGAGCTCTAGGATTGGCTACGGTATCAAAAGAAGACAAATAGAGTTTGAAAAAGGCGATCAGGATGACCTTCTGTCAATCATTCAAGTGTATCTTTTTGTAGAAACATTAAAATGACACTATTCAAGTTCTATATGAAATCCAACTTCAAGGGCTACAAATCATATGAAGACACCATTGCTACAATCAGAGAGGAGGAAGATGAAAACAGACGAAGAAGTCAGATGGTCGCTGTTGCGATTTAAGAATGCGGCCTTCCACCATTTTATTCATATCTTTTGATTGGATGATTCAAATCCAGTTTTGCAAGTTGTGGTAGATAGAGGACTTAATTATCTACAACTTTCATGAGGGAAGCGTCATCAAATTCGAAAGGGAAGGCACGGTCGTGCCTGGCAGATAGGCACGCCGTGCCTGTAGTAGAAAGAAGGACCGAGCTGCTGGAGGTCAGGCACGGTCGTGCCTGATAGGAAGGCACGGTTGTGCCTGACCCCTAAAACCATAGTTTCAGTCACATTTTATCTAGAGAGAGGCCTAAGGAAGAAAGTTCTTCTACTTTTCCACTTTTTTCTTCAATTCCCTTGGATTATTTGTAAGTTCTCACTTTTTAATTAATGACAATCAGTTCTGTTCATCCCAATTCTATTGATTCTTCAATTATGAGTTGTGAGTAATTTTAATTAGGAATTTGGGATTGATGAAAGGGTTAATCATGATGTATGGCTATATTCATGATGGATTAATTGCATGAATGTTATTTAATTTGTGTTTGAATAATTTAATTGATATCTCTTGTAACCTAGAACCGCGGTTAGAATTACAATTGTTTCTAGAATAAATTAAGAGAGATCTAATTTATTCTAGGACACCTTCACACACACTTAATCATGTGCTAAGAGATTAGTAGCTATTAAGGGGCCGTAATAATTTTAGGATCCTATCGCATGAGAGATCAGTCTGATCCCCTAAATTATTGTACTCTACGCCGCGAGAGCAGTAAGAACATAGTAATGATTAGCGAGACTCAATTAAATTAATTTCATGTAATTAAGCCTGATCAGCCAGAAATCTGATTACCCCGGAATCAATCCCTATTCCCTATCATCTTTATTCGCACAACGCATTTATTTTTATTTAGTTTTATCCCTGAATTTAATTAATTCTTAATTCCCTTTTGTCCATCCCTGTGGAGACGATACTCGTACTTACACCCTATACTCTGATCTATTTTTAAGTGCGAGAAAACTCACATCACTGGGCGGAGGAAGAAGACTGTTGCCGATGTGACGCTGGTGATGGTTTTTAAAATGGTTCTATTGATTTCCGTTTTGCTCTATTTTTTCTGGAGTTTTGGCTTTTGGTTCTGTCCGACCCTACTATTTGCCGAGGTTTGTGTGCGTTCCTTTATTGTGAGCGTTTTGTTGGTAGTTTGTTCCATTCTTTTGGAATTGTTTATGCTTTTCTATTCTACCATGGGAGGCAATGTCGAGGTAGATGTTGTAACACCGTCCCCAAGCATATTTATTTTTTTAGTAAGTTATGTATTAAACCTTGAAAAATGAATTATGAATTTGCGAAGTTGTAAATTTTTGTTATTTCTTTTGCGTGAATAGTGAATTGCACGTGGAGCCCACATCGGGAGCTGGGGCCACCCGATAATCTCGGGACCACATATTATATTCATGTTGGTCTAGATAATATGTATATGGTGGTGGATATTTTAGTTGGTCCATAGAAAGGGCATAGAGTCGACCCGTTGGTCAAATGAGGCCCAAATACCGGTATTGGTAATTTATCGGATAACAGCCCGAAATGAATTTCAGAGACTCCTAAATTAAATTGGGGAATGTACATCTATTCTAAAGTCCTATAATGATTAGGAACGTGTGTTACATTTTATTTGGCCCGATAAAATAAATATAAATAAAACAGTCCGAAAAATACAACTTTCGGGACCGATTGTACAGTTCGGGGCTTAATGAGATGACCTCCCACATGAGTGGGGGCCACCCCACAAAATTGTGTGCTCAATTAGAGATTGAATGAGTGCAAAGGGGGCTGAAAACATTTGAAGGGATGTGGGAGACATCATTGACATCCAATGGACCCCATTTTCCTCACCCAATTGCCAAAAGAGATAAAAGGACCAACCTTTCCTCTCTCCCACTCATTAGCTCGACCAGCACTAAGGAAATAGAGCTCTGAAACTTCACCCTCCATATCCAAACTCGAGCTCAAGCTCAAACAAGAAAAAGAAAGAAGTTTGGAGAAGAAAAAAGATAGAAAAAGTGTAAAGAATTAAGGTAATGACCTTATAATAACTTTTCCTCTACTTCTTATCTACTTTATGACTTATATATCATATTGAGAACCCCTATGATTGTTCTACATGTTTAGAAGTATAGAACAAGGGGTTGGAAGGTAGTTCTAAGTCCAAGAACAAACTTAGAAGCCAAATGACCAGTTCGTCGGAAAATAACCTTTTAGAGGTTATTTGTGTTTATATGGGTTTTGTGATGATAAAACCTTGTTAGGAGCTTGACTAAGGTGTTCCTATTTGTCGCTGGAGTTTCGCCAGAGTTTCACCGGAGATCGCCGGAGTTTCGCCGGAGTTCAACCGAGAAGGGTAGAACTTCTTAAAGCTCATTCGAGTTGAGGATGGCTGACTATATCGCTTATAATTATTGGGTTAACTTCATAAGATTACCTAAAGTATTAAATGTGATTTTCATGGATTATTAATGATTAATAATGCCTAAATGAAAATACTATTGCATATGAGTAAATGAAGCATGATATGCAAATTTAGAGATATTGTGTATGATTATGTGTTATGAATATGATGGCATGATAGTAGGAATTTACTATCAATATTTGTGATAAAATATACTACCTCCGTTC